CTTGCGTTCTTGACCAATAAGGCCAAATGTTGAAACGCGTCTGACCGCCAAAATACACGTTCATTCTCTTGAATACATAAAAAAATAATCTTACGCTAAATACAATGAGAAAATTGTAATAATTTTTTCTTGAGGTTGCGAGATAATCAATCTGTTGCTTGGACATTTTCGGCAATTTTGATCAGTCTGTCCGACCTATTTCGACCAATCCGTCCCTGATTACGGTTGTTTAGAGTTAAACCTAACTTCATTTGCTCGTTTCCAATCAAGCTGGACTCTGGTCTGTCTATTTTCGCTGTATTGGACTATCAGCCAAGTTTCCTCTTTTAACTACCGTGAGGAGCTTTGTTCACCTCGGATCGGAAACACTACAAGACTTTCAACCTGTAAGTTTAAAATTATTTGTTTGGTCCTTAAATAGTTTTATGATAATTTCTGTATAGTGTACTTTGTATATAGAGTGTATTTTGAGCTAATGGTATGAACGTAGGAAATGGACGACATTAAAAATCTATGAGATAATGAATGCCCTTTCAGTTTATAATTTGTTGAAATGACCTTAGTTGAGCCAAACTTTAGTGGGGACAGACTTACAGACAGTAGGTGACTCTCGCGGGAGACCAGCGGAAAGTCAAATCACAATGATAATTTATTTGTTTATATTACGGTTCGAGGATTCTTTCACATATTATCCAAATCACAAGGTATGAACAAATAAACTTAATCATAAGCAAAATTAATAATTATGAAAGGAAGAACAGACGTCAGTACTTCACGAGTCGTCATCTTAAATAGGACTAAGAAGTACTCATTGTCCAAAATGGGATTCTCAACTGTATTCGAGATACTTCGATTTTTAGGCCAACCTTTGAAAACTTTCCCGCTAAGTCCGTCGTATCTCATAAAATGTTAATCATGCTGTACATGTGATTATACCAACCCCATTGAAAATCTTCTAAGATTCATTTGTTTCGTATTGCAACCTTAAGCAAACAAAATACAAATTCATTTAAAAGATAAATTTTTACGAGTTTCAAAAGTCCTTGTTTAAAGTTTAAGTAAAATTTTCTTGTTTTTTTTTAATACCTAAAGATATGGACTTTACCCAAAAGTTGCACCAACTATTGAGCATTAAACATACGTACTTAATAAATTCATTAGAGTTCGTGGTCCGATTGACCGAATAACTTTTTTATTATCTTGTTGTATAATTGTATTAGTTGTATAGTGTCACGAGCGGGATTCGAACCCACGACCTTCGGCTAAATACGCCGCTGCTCTACCACTTGAGCTATCGTGACTTTGACCACTCGGACACCAACATCCCACCTCAACCTACCTTTCGAATTTTCCCTCCTTTTTGTCATTTTTCAAATGTCGTGTAATCTATTCACTTCTCGACGACAAATGAAATGCCCGCGGAGAGCTTTAATGAAGATATACTTAATTTTATTTATTAAATTCATTAGAGTTCGTGGTCCGATTGGCCGAATAACTTTTTTCATTTAATTAATCTCTATGTAAGGTATTGGCAGAGATAAAAAAGTCAGTGTCACGAGCGGAATTCGAACCCACGACTCTCGGCTAAATACGCCGCTGCTCTACCACTTGAGCTATCATGGGAAGTTGTCCGAGTGGATCGAATTCTCGATAGCTCAAGTGGTAGAGCAGCGGCGTATTTAGCCGAGGGTCGTGGGTTCGAATCCCACTACTGACACTGACTTTTTTATCTCAGCAAATACCTTACATAAAGATTAATATGTACCTAATTTTTAAAAGGCCACTTATGTACTTATGACCATTGTAAAATTAACGTTTCATTGCTAAAAAGTTGAATTTTCAGTTACAAAAAATTTGCATAAATAGCCATTAACATTTTGAAACTTGTAATTAAAAATATTAAAACAATGAAAGTAATAAAAATGATTACAAAACCGGCTTCTTGGTACAAAATTTAACATAAGACATAAACAAAAACCTTCTAAAAATAAACGATGTCAGGCTTGCACTTTTTAAGAAGGTGGACGTTTCAAAACATTTAATTCAATTTTTATAATTTTTTTCTTTTTCTGTTATAATTTTGAAAAACTGATAACGCGTAGGTTTTTCAATGCTCTTTCTATTGGTGTAATCAAATTAAATGAAGGTTTACAATTTTATGAAATACAGTGGACTTTATGATATAAAGTTGTGAAAGTTTGAAGTAACCTGGAAAATGAATTATCTTGAATACAGTTGAGACTTTGGACAGTAGGGACTTCATAGGACAATTTGACATGTAGGATAACCTCCTGAAGTATTGATTTCTGTTCACGGGAACACCCTTTAGAAGATACTACACTACAACTAACTGTTTTTTGTTTGTTTTTTAAATCAATACATTGATCGATTTTATTCACTTCTCTCATTATTCTAATTATCGAAGAATCAAATAGATAATTTATTTAATAAAAAAAGTTTAATTCTTTAATTAAATCCGTCGAAAAGAATGCCCGGCTGAACGGTCGATTGATACAAAAGATAATAGGTCAGAAATGCGTACAGTAAAACATTAAAGTTTAATGTTAGAAAACAAATTTATCTGTATTAAATATGCTCGTGATAAAAGAGCTGTTATCTGAAATACTTACTTTATCCCACAATTGTTCCTGTCGTTTTCATTGTTCATGATTCTCTGTTCATGCTCATTAATTGAAACTTGCTACTGTTTAAACGATAAATAGCCGGATTGTTTCAAAGTAATATAATAATAATTAAAAATTCCATTCTGTTCATTAATTAATGTATATAGGTGTAATATGTACAGAGATTCTTCGCGTTTCATCGGGTTGTTGTAAACATCAATAAACGGACGCTATGTTATAATTTTGAATTGAATACGAGAGAAAGGAAATTTCATTTATGTATTTAGTATTAGGCGAAATCGTAAACAAGGCGAACCAACCTTTCATTGGATTCCTACATAATGCAACTCAATAAAATTCAATAAGCTCATCTCACAATATCACTGTGGGAAGGGGAATTCATCGTTATTGGTCCCGTTGAGCTGCAGATAGGCCCTGGACGTCGTTGGGGTTTTTGCATTATTGAAATATTGAGCGGTTCTGATTATTCACCCCTTTCAGGAATTATTTCAATGACCTCCTTCACTGGATTATTCCGGGTGAAATTGCTGGAAAACATCTTGCGCCTCCTGCAACATCGATTAAATTTTGCCGATGAAATTTCATAACGCGTTGAAAACAGTTGCGTCGCAAATTTGTTAATTGGACGGTGAAAATCAATAAGCAATATTGATGAAATTAAATAAAACAAGCTTCGGGAATTTTTTTAAATATTTTGGATATTTTTGCAATAGCGGTGTGACAAAACAATTATATGTATTCGATCAGTGTAGACTTTATAGAAATTTCTTTCAATTAATTAAGGTTTTAGTTGAGATAAAAAAATCAGTGTCAAGAGCGAGATTCGAACCCACAATCTTCGGCTAGATACGCCGCTGCTCTACCACTTGAGCTATCGTGACCTCGATCCACTCGGACACTAATTTCCCATCTCAACCCCACCTTGAGAATTTTTCCTCCTTTTTCCCATTTTTCAAATGTCGTGTCATTTCATTTGTCGCCGAGAATCAAATAGATTACACGACATTTGAAAAATGGGAAAAAGAAGGAAAAATTCTCAAGGTGAAGCTGAGATGGGAAATTAGAGTCCGAGTGGAGAGCTTTAGGGAAGTGTACTTCATTTAATTTCATTAAATTCACTATTTTTCGTGGTCCGCTTGACCAATTAATCACATTCATTTCATTACGGTTTTAAGTTGAGATAAAAAAGTCAGAGTCACGAGCGGGATTCGAACCCACGACCTTCGGCTTGATATGTTGCTACGCTACCACTTGAGCTGTCGTGACTTCAGTACACTTCACTAAAGCTCTCCGTGGCCATTTCATTTGTCGCCGAGAATCCAATCCGATTACACGACATTTGAAAAATGGCAAAAAGGAGGGAAAATTCAAAAAGTGGGGTTGAGATGGGAAGTTGGTGCCCGAGGTGATCGAAGTCACGATACCTCAAGTGGTAGAGCAGCAGCGTATCTAGCCGAAGATCGTGGGTTCAAATCCCGCTCGTGACACTGACTTTTTTATCTCAACTAAAAACTTTAATTAATTGAAAGATAATTGGTCAAGCGGACCACGAAAACTAGTGAGTTTTGTACAGTGTTAGTTTGTTTGAACTTTTATTCTTTTTATATTGTCTGATGAGTTCTTGTTTTAAGTCTAGTGCGTGCATGTCAATTTAAGTATTTAACTTGCTTAGATAGACGAGGCCAAGGCTTTTTTCTCTAAAGATTAACTGATTGTAATTTGGGAGCGTTTGTCCTCGCTTAGTTTCACTTCACATCGTCCTCCATTCTTCGATAATCACTGTATGCTCACTAACTTCTCATAGTGTACGAGAGAATCGAAGTCACGATAGCTCAAGTGTTCGAGAAGCGGCGTATCTACCCGAAGGTTGTGGGTTCGAATCCCGCTCGTGACACTGACTTTTTTTATCTCAACTTTTTTATCACCTTAATTAATTGAAAGATATTAATTGGTCAAGCGGACTACGAAAACTAGTGAACTTTATAAGAATATTGAAGTGATGAAAGTGAAGAACAATAATAAACTCATAGTCGTTTGATTACTGAACAAAAATAGAAAAGTAGTTGGTCTTTATTTTATTTGTACCAGTAAATCAGTTTCAAAAAATAAACAGTTTGTTGATAGTTTCCACACAAAAATAAACCAACTGTAAGTAAACTGTTCAACCGATATAGGCCTTCTTTTTTTGGGCAAAAATATTTTTACAGTTGCTGCGAATTACGTCAAACGTATTAGATACTGTGTGTTCTACAATAACTTAATATATCAGAATACAAACTATTTTTTTTTTTCATGTTTACATACAATATTTTCAATGAAGTACTCAAAAAACAATGCTCCTTTTGTTTTGTGCAGAATCTGGACCGTTGACTATTGTAAGAAGGGGCGGCAACAGGAAAACGGGGGAAAAACACGAGACGGAGCGCATCCCGATCAACTCGGATGACGACTTGCTGGAACGACTCGACCACGATCCTGATCTCGCCATCACCTACGATTCACCTGATGCTTGTGAAAATGCTGCTTTACGGTGAGTTTAAACCCAAATTGCACATATGTGACGGTAATTTGTCTCTAACAAGTCATCTATTTATAAACCGATTAAAAGCGATACAGGATGGTTATAATTAAAACTAATAAACAAAAAGTGAGTGTAGTTTTGTCGTTTCGGTCTGGGAACTGGGAAACGATTAAATTACAGGATCCTCACCACGCAGACCCCACAAATATTATAAAAAAGTTGCTACTAAATGTTTCTTAAATTATATTGACATTTTAGTGAACAATATTGATTTTTCGTTGAATTTTAATGGGGTTTAATGCTTTTACTGCCTAAAAGTAAGTACCTACATCAGAGAGTAGACCTTGGTGGCCGCAATGGTTATACAATATTCAAAATTGCAATAAAACATCACCACGAGCAATTTAGCTTGATGTTACTATGTTTGTGTTTTAATAATAAGGGTTTTCACCCAACAGCTACACTCCAATAAAAAAAATCTATTTCTTTTCAGACGTCTAGAGGTATTGTTAGGAAGTGTGGAAGAAGTAGACTGAATGACGAGTGGATTTTTGTCGGTGGAAAGTGTGAAGTTCAATTTAAGATATCGGGTTCTTGCCGTCTTGAGCAGATAGTATTTTGAGTTCGGTGTGGATGTATGATGAATTGGCACTAGGTCACTTACTGGGTCCATCAACACAGGAGCCTTTTTGATGTTATACGCTGTTTGGTACTGTGGTTGATGGTCATTTACGGCTTAAAGCAGCAAGAAAACTGGGTATGGAAAGTATTCCTCCAAACATGAAACGTCATCTTCAGTGAGGAACTCAGTTCGGAGGATTCACGACGTTCTTCACTCAAGATGAAACATGTATGTGCAACCATTCTTCGCCGAAACGAGCCAAACAGACCAAAACCGGAACTGAAACGACCAAACAACCAAATTAGGTAGCAAATAAGTTAAGCTTTCCGTTGCTATGACCTATATTTTGATGAAATTGTTTTTCACCGATGCAGCCTATTGAAAACTTTTTTTTTTCGTTCTATACTGTCATAAAAATTTATATTATGAGCAATGTTAATGATAAAGAAATTGAGGTATTTGTTAGAATTGGTGGTGGGTTTACTAAACGCGGCAGATAGACTAAAAAGACAAAACAAAATTATTGGAAACGAGCAAAATACTAAATTGGTAAACTCTATGAAATTGTTTGGCCGTTTCCGATCAAATTTGGACTGGCTTTCTCAAGTGGTTCGGTTTATTGACTTGTCCCACCTTAATTAAAACCCTGACTAGACCTTTAATAAGACGAAATGCCTTCACTTGACACCCAAATTAAAACAGACAGGCCAGGATGATCAAACTTCTTGAGATCTACGGGCGATACGTTGGTTTCTTAATTTCCGATCATCCTGGACTGCCTACACTCGCTGGTTTGATTTGTCAGACCCTTTTCGGCATTTCGCTAGCTTTAGAAGTTGGTTTGTTGTGTTGCCACAACCTAATTACATGCGTGACCAGCCACTGAAGGTGGAAATACGCTGAAACTGTCTAAACTGCAAGGAAAGGAATAAATGGTGTCTGGTAAATGGTGATATAATATACTTATTAATACCAAAAAACACAACGGAAACGACCTAATTACTAAATTAACTTTTAAACCAATTCTGAAAAACATTTAGGTAGCAAAAAAGTGAAGGTTACCGTTCCAAGATCATATGACCTATGCTTTATAGAAATTAAAAACGATGCAGCCTAATAAAAACTTATTATCTATCCTAACATATAAGAAATAATATAAAATTTATTATGAATTACTGGATTGTTCAAGTTGTACTCATTAGTACTAACGTTGTTGTTTTAATATTTCCCTTTCTAGAAATTATTGTCTTGGAGAGGTTATTCCACAAGTGGTGACGAACCTCATGAAATAGTTTCATCCTTTCTGATCTCAGTGAACGGCCTGTCACCAATGGTCGGTCAAACATTTAAGCAAGTTAAGACGACAAAAAAAAACCTACAACGGAATATAGGCAGTCCAGGATGATCGGACACGACCAACATGGGATAACGCGTCCGACAGACCTAAACTGCAAGGATTAGGATGATTATTGATTGGTCACCAATATTTTGTCATAACATGCTTTTATCTCAACGGCGTCTAACAAGACCAAAAAGACAAAATGATCGAAAACGACCAAATTTATGAACGCGATGAAATATGTGTAGAGATTAGTGACCGTTAGTTGATTATTATTCAGATATCGTGAGATGCGGTCTGGTGTGATGTAGGTTTCAGAAAAACATTTTCTTTATCGTACCAACGTTTCGATCTTTATTCAGAACATCTTCAGGGCCTGGGATTTACAAACTATGTTTACATTTAACAAATACATTTAGGATGTGGAAAAGTGAATTTATACAATGCAAAAAATATTTTTTATTCAATCAAAGTATTTCTATATATATAAATTCACTTTTCCACATCTAAATGTATTTGTTAAATGTAAACATAGTTTGTAAATCCCAGGCCCTGAAGATGATCTCAATAAAGATCGAAACGTTGGCACGATAAAGAAAATGTTTTTCTGAAACCTACATCACACCAGACCGCATCTCACGATATCTGAATAATAGCGATGAAATAGTTTAGTCGTTTCCGATTATCTTGGAGTCCCAATTCGGTGGTGCCTTGTTTCACCCTTCTTATAACCCCGACCAGCCGCTGAATATGGCGAAGTGGTATGATCCGGCTTGGCTAAACTACAGATTTATCCTTTCGTTTAGTTTATAATACGCTGAGATGACCTAGTTGGAAGATATTTTATTTCGTAGAGATTATCATATTTGCCTATGTAAGATTTCTTCTTGAGGTTCTGTTTGTTCGTTTCCGCTGTTTTAGTCCATCATTTCGTCCATAGTTTTGGCATTTCGCAATATTCAGTGATTTAAGTACTAGCGACAGGACAACAAACTCACTTAGTTAAAGACTGTTCAAGATGACCCGGAAAATAGGTAAAATTTATACTTTGGTTCTTATCGTCCTACTCCGCCTACCCTTTCTAGTTTGATTTGTCATTCGCATTTCGGCGTTTCAGTGGTCGGTCAGAGTATAAGCTGGGTGAGGCAAGAAAGGAACTGAGGATGGCGAATTGCCGAAACGCTTTTACCGATAATTTAATACGGATCGGCCAAACTACAAAATGTTATATTTATATACTGAAATTTCCGATTGCTTGTATAATTATGGGTTTATAAACACAAAACAAACAATGCTGAAAACTGAAACTCTAATATAACAGAAAAGACCTGTTGATTGTCGAATATTTTTCAAGAAGACATCTTACTGATTTTTTAATTTTTGTATAATCTAAATGTATTTATGATATTTAAATCTCACTAGTTATGTTGATGTGTTTCAGCTTGCGGGGACTGTTGGGACAGATACAAAAAGGTGAAATTTCAGCGGAAACTCTCCAAAAACACATCCTCTTCGCTGCCAAAGTTTTAGAGGCGATTTTTATCGATGAGAACAAGTAAGCTGTGTTGCAAATAATCTTTAAATATTTCAGAAATGTTTAATTAAGGGAATTTATTTAAAAAAAAGATGTTTTCTCTCTTCCCTGAATAACTTATTTTTACTCCATTCTTTCAATAAGTGTCGCACAGTTTCTGCCCTCTTCAGCTTGTCACAAAAATAATTGTTTTTTTTATATTTATTTTACAATACTCTATTATGACTCTTCATTTAATCGTGTTCTCTTTACTCTTCATATTTGTCAATTATTTATAAATGTAATGTTCATCATTTTTGTCCAGGTTTCCCATGCTAACGAACTTTGTTTTATAAAATACCAATTCAATCCGTTTTTTTTCTCTTCTATTCTTTGTTCTTGGATGTGTTCCATTTTTACAGTGATTGTCTAATTTTTTCTTCTTCAGCAGTGGATCGACTGCGCGAGGCTGTGCGAGTCTGTAGGAATAAGGTTTATTCCATCTTGCGAAGATTTTAATCCAGTTAAAAATTCTTTTCAATTAAAAACATTCACTTTCCTCTGTTTATATTTCTCCCTTTCAATTCAGCCAGATGCTCCTCTTTGTTGTTTTGATGAAATATGTAAATTAACAACTATCAAAAATATGTCTGGAGAATAATTATTCATTTATTACAGAGGTTGTCTTATCGTTTAAATAGAGGTTTAAAATTGCTACTTTTTTATGTTTGTTGCGTTTTCAAATTCTAAGCATTTATCAATTCTGATAGTAAATATGTGTATATTACTTCAATATACGAAGTATGCAAATTTTTGATGATGCCTCCTTTAAAGATTAATACCGATTTTGGCTACCTCATATTGCCTTTGTTATTGGAGTATTGAGTAAGGTTTAATTTCGTTTTCTCTCTCCTCCTTGCAAAACTTTCCAAACGTGACCATTTCGGTCACGGAACTCGGTAATGTATCGGTAATAATTCGGATATTGAAATTTTCGAACGTGCTTTTATGTTCAAAAGCGCATTTCAATCAAACTGTGGTAAACGCTAAGTGAAAACCAGTTATTGAGGTTAAATGACCGAGTCAAACGGCAAAAGTTTTGTACTTGAAATTATCAAGCTTCTTGTGTTACTATAAAAGAATGTTAATTCACGGAAATACTATTTTAGCTTCGGCTAACCTTAAAACTGGTTTTCAGTTTGCGCATTTTTTTTTAAATTAAAAGAAAAAGAGAAAAGTTACCGAGGAAAATGGGAAGGTTTCAAGATAAGGAATCAATATGGCGAGAAGGTTCAATGTTTAAAAGTTTATTAAAAAAAAAAAAAAGCGAAAAAAGAAGAAGGCGGAGCTGTGAAAGTGGTGAGATGTGTGTAATGAAAAGGTGGGATTGTGTATAGGGGCCGAGGTGCAAATCAAGGCAACGATGAGCCCGAAGAGGAGAAGAGGTGTTCAAAGGAGGCAGAGGACAAACAGTTGGCGCCCAAACTGCACACCCACCAGCGTCGTCTGAGAGCTCCGGTTTGGGCCTCAAGGTCTAGACAATAGCCTCATACTTCCATCCAACAGCTAAACCTCTTCCTTGGACCTGTCCCGACGTCTGTCAATATCCAACCAGCACAAGTAGTAGCAAGAAGAAAGTCTTTAGGTCACACTTTGTCGTAACCAAGCCTAACTCTATTACGTACTTTCTTTATAGTTTCCTTTATTATTTCCTTTTACAATTATTTATGTTACTTATTTGATTTTGTCTAGATTCGGCTCACTAATCAGTTCATATTTTTATCGATAGTTTTCATACTAATAGCGTTTTGTTGATTAAGGATTTTATAACACCAGCGTTAGGACTGTAGAACGATAGCGTTATAGAATTTACACAAATATTTTTCATACATTAAACTGGGATTCATCGTCCCGCTTTCACGAACGAAAAAGGTGATCATGAAAGCAAAGCACGTCTCCACATTATTGATCCTAAGGATTTCTATAATTGAAATAAAATCTGGTCTCATAGGTCTAGGAAATTGAAACATTAATATTTGATAAATTTAACGTATTTACGATAAATCGCATAATTTTGGATATTTATCTTTTAAAAATTTACAATTATTATTCAGAAATTTTGGTTAGAAGCAGACCATCGAAAACATCATTATAAAATGTTTAAAATGTTTCGTGTAATTATTAGAAATTAGGGGAAACAATAGGAAAATATTTATAGCTTCGCTGTGTAGGTAAAATAATATACAAGTCAATTATATACATGGTTGATGACGTTTGTTACTAGAAACTTGATAAAACAGGAAAATATATATAGTTACATCGTATACAAAAACAAACGAATATGGAACGAAATGTGACATAGTTTATAGGTTATAACAAACTAACCTATCGGATACAGGTTATAACTTCAACCTGACATCGATAGTTTCTAACTTCTTAATGACCTAACCTTTAGGTTATGACATTTTAGGTTACAAATTATGTACTTCAATACCTACGATACTCACGCTATCTATCGTTAGCTGCGTAACAATTTGTCTTAGTGACCGAGAGAAGTAGCAAAATAGGTTCAATTGTGTTAGTAAGAAACAAAATTTATATTCGTTATTCGTACTCCCAAAAAACTCCTGTATTCAATTTTTAGTTAAAATCGCGAATTTTTTTTTTTAATTTTTCGCCTTACAAAGGCCTCCGATTTTTGTTGAAGGTTCTTAAAAATGATGATAATTCTAAAACTACTAGGGCGACTCACAGGAAATTTAATACGGGTTTAGAACTGTACATACTAAACGTAGTCTCCGGATATTAAAAAATAAAATAAAAATAAAAGTTTTCGGAATTTTTGTTGATTGCATACTTATTCATCTCACTTATAATAAAATAAAATCTAACTTTTTGCCATTGGCTGATAGAAAAGAGATTAAGCTTTACAATATTGGTAATAAATTTTAATTTACCTAACAATGTCTACTATTTGTGCTTTAAAATAGATATTTAAGAGCTTGGAAAGGTGTGAAAACGAATCAGAATCGTTAAAAAATGCAATAATAACACAATTTTTTGGCCTACTCTTTACTGGACGAGTCTTTTTTGGTTTTTGCAACTTTTTACATATCTAATCACATTTAATGCTACCCCGTATATTTTTAATTAACCTTCGTAAAAAAAACCCGCTACCGATATGTAATACCTTTGAAATACATGCACAACAAAAACAGAAAAACAAATTTTTAAAAAAATTTATAAAGCACTTAAAATAATTTTTTTCCGGTTCCTAGAGCCCATTGGCAAAAACGCTCAAAATTCTGGCTAATATTTTTGATCTAGTATCACCAAAAAATGTATCTTTAGAATTGGTGATTCCACGTAGCCTCCCTTTGTTAGTTATAAATTCATAATAATCTGACAATTATAGCTTATAATTTCTTAATAACCTAACCGTTTTCGTGTAACGCTGAATTATAAGTTATAACATCCTAACTTATCAGATACAAGTTCCAACTTCATAGTAACCTAACAGTTATAGATTATAACACAATAACTTAAATGTTTTAGGTTAACGCTGAATTTTAGGTTATAACATCCTAGCATATCGGGGGTAGGTTATAACTTCATAGTAACCAAAGTCGATAAAATTAGTGCAGAAGTACGAATATCTAGTCAATTATATATGAACATAAGCAAATATTTAAAAATTATTCAACTGGATTTGCATGGCATTTAAAGTGTTATTTTTAATGTGGTGGGAAGATGCTTCTTTTATTTTATTGCCTTTTTCTGAACCAGGATGAGAGGACGTCTACACTATAAAAATTTACGGACTTGTTTGACTCATAAGTCATTAGAAAGATGAGGAACCAAGAGGTACAAAAGTATAGCGAATTTGTTGTCTTTGTTTGAAGTAGGGTGTAGTTAGTAGGGCCGATAAAAACACTATGCAATCATATAAAAACATACTTAATAGCTATACTCTCAAAAGATAAGGACAGAAATACACATACCACATGAACATTAAAAATCATAAATTATTTTACCTCACATATTATTTTTCCCAAATGCCGACTATAGAAATATTTACTTCTTATCGCTTCATCGGTAACGTTTGTTTCTTCATTACATGATATTCAACAAACTGCAAAAAGGGTGAGGTCATTCACAGTATGTCCAAAAATCACCAATAAAAACGAATATACTAATTAGGCATAAGTACTCTGTTTGATGTAACGATGAATAATAATAATGATTGCTACACCACAAATTAATTACCACTAAAGGTTGATATCAATTAAGCTAGGTTATTTCTTTATTAGCTAAAATAAAGGTCAAATATAACAGAATCAGGGGGCTTTTTTTTTTGTTTTTTGTTCAAACATCGATTAACTCATTGAAACAGTCGGGTTATGGTTTGGCATATGGCAGTTTAATTAAAATGCCATCAGGCAAAAGACTGGTCTTGCGTTTGTTATTTGCTGAATTTATGTACTTAAAAAAATAGAAAAACTGTTGAACCCTTGCTCTAAATGTTTTTGGAGTTATGTGCATTTAGTGGATACTAAAAAAGATCAATTAATTGTAAGTTATTAATTGGTCAAGCGGACCACGAAACTAGTGAATCTGTTTTCTAGTTTAAAGTGTCACTTGACACCCGCTTCAGAAATTTAATTAATTACACGACATTATACACTTGATAAATAAGTACACACTGTGCTTTTTAATTGCATATTTTGTTGTAATGTATTTCTGGGGATTTTATCATTCATAGGGATAAAATATCTGAGGAAATTTGTTTGCATCAGACACCACGCCGTTTTAAATATTGATTATTAATTATTGGGTTGCTCTGAATTCAGATTTCTCAACTCCAGTCAAAATACGAACTTCCGAAACACTTCCATTAAAGAAAAAATAACGTTTGAGTTTGTACCAATGGGTGAATTATTAATCCGATATGTGTGGTGATTAGTGGCCGTTAGTCGATGATTATTCGGAAATCGATGATGTCTGGTGTGACGTAGGTTTCAGAAAAAACATTTTCTTTATCGTGCCAACGCTTCGATCTTTATTGAGATCATCTTCAGGGCCTGAGATTTACATTGTTTAAATTTAACAAATACGTGTAGGTTGTGGAAAAAAGTGAATTTATACAATGCAAAAAATATATATTTTTTTAAAATTATATTCAATCAAAGTATTTACGCAGAAAACAAAACTTTGAGTGAGTAGAAATACTCTGATTGAATATAATTTAAAAAAAAGAAATATTTGTTTGCATTGTATAAATTCACTTTTTTCCACAACCTACACGTATTTGTTAAATTTAAACAATGTAAATCCCAGGCCCTGAAGATGATCTCAATAAAGATCGAAACGTTGGCACGATAAAGAAAATGTTCTTCTGAAACATACATCACATCAGACCATATCTCATGATCTCCGAATAATCATTAATCCGATAGCTTTTTCGTTTCGACCAAGACCTTAGATAAAAAGTATAACTAATTAAAATAATTAATAAGGTCAATTATGACTAGTAAATATTTACATGGATTAATACGATTAATTTTGTTTTGATTGAATAAAAATAACACCATACTTGTTATAAAACATTCATATTGAGTTCAAAATCTACAGTGCAGTTTCTCCAATTCAGTTTTGTTATTTTAAAGGTGTCATGTAAATTATTTAGATAGAAAACTAATTAAATAAAAGTGAACAAGTTTATTATTAATTGACACATAACGATGTTTGAATTATATATATAATGTCCTCTACTCTGAGGGCGAGCACGATTTCTGCTTTCGGAGATGGAATGCGTCTAGTTGTTAAACTATATAATAGAATTACCATGGCAGCCGAGTGGAATGGGCAATTACTAAAGTTCACGTACACGAACAAACATTTCAATTATGGTTAGGACATATCTGACTAGACTATATGAATCATTAATGATTTTATGCTAACAATATATACAAATTGAAAAAACAAAAATGGGATCGTAAAATAGAGAAGAAATATTTGTGACAAACTTTTTATTTTTATCTGGCATTCAGTATTAAAAAGGCATCAATGGAATTTTCATTCATGCACTGTTTGACCAACTGGCATTTTAATTCAGGAGTTACATGGTACTCGATAGATTAACTGAAATCTCATTTGTCTCAATGTCGAGAAATAAGGAGTAATTCAAGACCAACTGGGAATTCGAATGATCCACTGAATTTTTTAATTTCCCGATGGCATCTTGCCACAGGGTTCAAGTGATAATTAATTTTCCCTCTGGTAACGATGGAATTTAAATAGACCTTGTGAATCAGGCCAGCGAAAGAAAAAATCCTTATTCAAAGATCATTTCCCTGTTAGAGGCATAACCCTCTCTTTTTTTCTCCCCCTAAAGAATGAAAATGACAAACGAGATTAAATTTTAATTCGGTTTTCATAATTAAGTAATAAATTATCGCAAGATGAAAAACGTTAGTCACTATGCCTTGACGAAAAAAACAGTAAAGATGCAATTTAAAAACAACTGTATCCT